CAATTTTGTTCTATACTTTCGAATTATTTTTACATAAGCAGCATCTTAAGGATCGCATAATCGCAATTACAACTCATTGTGCAGTTCACAAGTCGAAAATCTCTGTTGGGAGAACCGAAACTGTCCATAGGAAATGTCAGTTGTTCGGTTTAATTTGACTATTGGAATCGTAAGCGGCAAGATCGGCCGCATTTGTATCACAGAGCACGCATAGCTGCATGTACGTTATGAAACGATTTCCTTCCCGTGGAATTTTCCTTGGAGTATCTGTTGAACATACGTTTCCAACGAATTCTCTCAACTGTCGGGTGCTAGACGCGCCGTCTCGCAAATTTGAGGTGACACGCGCGGTACGTAACATAACTGAGCGAATATCCGTGCCACATGAAATGCCCTTGTCAGCGTACACGCGAAAATACCGAATATGTTTAATATATATATACTATACTATCTTATTACAGTGGTATTTTGGTAATCGGGCGGTCAGTGGTATGAACGCGTCGATACTTGTGATTCGAGCTATGAAATATTCTCATAGAATTGGGCCAGCGATGCATGATCCATGATAAAATAACATTTAATTGTAATCAACTGTGATTAGTCAGTATATCTGTTGGAAAATTATCTTCTGTATTATAATTCTTCTACATTTACCGTTAGAGTTAAAATTAGTAACAATTAGAATAACAGATTAGTAATTGTAAATTCCTGTTGTAGGTTTTCATTGATTTGTATTCTTCATCGTGCACATTTATAACGGTGTAATAAGATCATCGTATATATAAGGTCTAAAAAACAGTCCTTACGATTTTTCAGACACTTCCGATAGTCGGTCAAAAAAATGTTTTGCGTACGGTATAAGTGGATCAACTCTCGAACTACTACAAATTGCAACATCAAGGATTTAAAACGAATTTTGATTTCGTTAAAAAGTTTCAATGTCACTTCTACTTTTTTAAACTGAACAATGCATTTTTTTATATGTCATTCGAAGTATTTTTTGTAATTATCTACAAAAAAAAAGTATGAAGATACTTGGATCGAGAAATAGTTGGTTTAAACGATCCTTTAACTTTAATATTGCAAAACTTATCGTATGAAAGACAAGAAAAGACAGTGTAATACTTCTTTGTTTTTATATTTTACTTGTCTTTCGTATTTTTAGATCACCTTATATAGTGGAATATACTTATGACGTTGGGAAATGATTGGATAAAATTGAGAGTAGTGCTTGTGTAATTCGTATTTGATCTAACATTTATATTCACAATTCATGCGATAACGTTGCGAGAATAGTATTAAAATATATAAATTAGTGATAAATTAATGATCGAAAGCAATACTTGTCATCTATTTATAAAATCAACTCATATATTATGAATTTAAATTGTGTATTTAAAGAGTCACAACCTGAAAATTACTATGCTTATCACTGTGCCATTAAACTTTATCACGCTGCTACCTACTACTACAAAGCAATTTACTTATAATACTTATTAGCAGTCGTTCCTTTCATTTCGACAAAAAATTATAATCGATCGTAATTTCCATTTCATAAATAAAATAAATCTCAACTGCAGAGGTTAACGACTGGTCGAATGAAAGGAAATTATTTACTCGAGCGTTAAGCAATAGTTTTATACGTAATAGTGCTATACATAGTAAATATTTCATAATTCACGCCGAAAAATCTCAATAAACACTAAAATAAGTTCAAATGGAAACCTGAAAATGTGCTGAATTGTAGATCTGTTCTACATTATGAATAAAGATAATTCAAATCATTTCTAAAAACAACAGAAAACTTAATGCACTGTTTAAATCATAAAATTTGTTTGCACTATTAAATCCATAAATTCTACGAATTACTTCATTATCAACCTACAGGAAAACGCGCAAATTTCTATTATCGGAAATCTTTTCACGAAATTTCTTTCTCAATAAAATTATACGGGAAATTAAGCATTCATTGAAAACCTGGCTCTTTCCAGCTCGTTGATTCACCTCGTTAAATGATAAACGTTCGTTATTTTGGAGTTAGCAATTGAACAAACGAGCTTATCCGCGTTTCTCGCCAAAGCCGATTAAAAAGTAAGCGAGAGCGTGAAGTAAATTAAAAAAAAAAAAAAGAATTCAGTATCGATCGCAATGAACAAGCGACACAATGAACCGCGATGAAAATGTCACGGAACGGGCACCAAAAACGCGTATCGACTTTCTCGTTGAAACAGAACGACGAAGGATACCGAACGAGAAAGTATCGCGAATGTCCCGCGTCGTGAGAGATCGCGTAATGAAAACACGACGCGCGCCGTTTAGCTGGTGTAGCTTTATAAATCTCATTCATATTTATGCGGTTTTACTGTGATTATTTCGTAAACGCCTCGTGAAATTTCCATCGACGCCAGAAAAAAAAACACGCCTCTATCTCTAGTCGTTCAATATTTCATCAACTCTTTAACCCGTTAAATGTTTCGCACATCTAATCACTTAAAACATGAGAAATATGTTTTAATAATATTAATAATATTATAGGTATCAAATAATGAAAATCCTTATTATTTTACGTGGCCTGAAAAAATTAATCTGGTAGGAGAAACTAAGCAATGTAGCTCTTATTAATTTAGTAAAAAGAAAAATGGAAATTGTAAATCTTATATATTAGCAAATTAATCTTTTGAATTTATTTTATAAATTAGTCGATAAATGTCGCATTTGTTTCCTTTTGAAACGTTACTAAAAGGTAATAAAAGTGCATTAGCCATTAAATAAAATGCCACTTACATTAATCATAAAAAATTATTATACTGAAGTTGTAATTTTCTCGAGTACTGTATATTCTTCTGACACAATGCACGCTCTCTGTGTATTCTATGCGAGAAATACACGCTAGTGTTGCATGTTTAAGGTTCGATAAAGTGGGAGTGAAAAATGGAAATGTGATAAAATTGAAATAAAAATTTTATATTATCATCTTGCGATATTGGAATACATGGTCGAATATAAGAAACACGTGTCACATTTTTGACACATATTATACGCTGAAATATGACTTTTTTAACGTTTTAGGATATTTTTCATCTGTCACGGTTTCCAGGCAGTTTAATAATTCACTTTGACGCACAAGAATTTAAAAACTGACGCGATAAAATGTGAAATAGTTCCAACGTAAGATATAATTGTTGAGATAATTTCATGAGAAAAAGCCTATTGGGAACTGTTGAATTACATTAGCTGATAGGAACTGCTATTAAACTTCATGTAGTGGATAGAATAATCGTTTCGATGATCGCAACAACTATTAATTTGTTAATAGGAAAACTGACGAGTAGCTCTTATTTCGAAAATTTTAAACACTTATCTGATTCAAGGAAATGATGACCGAGGAACTATCGTGCCATGTTCTCTGTATTTATCTGCCGATATTCTTTGTAGAAAAGCTACTTAATGAAAGAGAAAATGTATTGAAATAGATTTCTAAAATAAAGTTGTATAAATAAATTATCTATAAATTTATAATAGAGCCCCATTCTTCGTTATTTCCGATATCATCTTACCTACCTAACCCAAACGCATACATATAAATCTTTTTTCTGTTTTAAAAATTTTCAGAACTTAATGTCACTTGAACAATACTACTACTTCACATCCTAAACCTTCTTTAATTGCATTCTCTATCCCCTGTTAATAAGCCTCGCTACTTTGCAAGGGTACAATTTTTCTAAAGGGCCATGAATTTTAATTTCCAACGCGTAAAAATTTCAGTTGAATTCTCTAACTTGGATTAAAAAGCTTCGTTGTATATAAAAAAAAAGTATAACTTTCCTAAAGAGTTACAAAGTTTTAATTTTCAACGTTTGAAAACGAGTCTGTTAACTATATGAACATGGTTGAGTTCAACGACGCGAAAGAGAAATTTATGCATAAAAGTGGATATAAACACGACCACGAATGATGCGTTTCTAACAACGCGATGGTTACTGCGAAATGAAACGGCGACCCGGAGACGAATTTGTTACGGTGGGACGGATTAATGAGGCGATTATTGGAAGCGACGAATTTCAGTCCCAGTGTAGACCTGTGATCACACGTCACGGCCAACTATTTTATCGCCGGTGAACCGACGATCGGTGACCGGTGAAACGCCATAATAGTTTCATTAAAACGTTCCACCTCGATGAGTGTGTGGCTTATTATCGGTCTTTACGAGCAGAGAAAAATAGCTTCGAACACGTAGATGATCACTCAACGCACTAAGTATTATGCTCAAGCGTGATGAAGTTCGTTACTTCAAGGTTAGAAGTCAATGACGGATATAAAATTGGATTCTTTGAGTTAGTTATTAGAAAGTAGAATGATTTGTTACTAATAGAGAGGAATATTTTTAAACGCAAGTGATACAAATATAGATTAGAAATACAATTGATCGAAATGGTATCCTTTTAATTAGCTTCCGAGACACAGATGAAATCAATGAGATTTCGAAAATACGAATTTGAAAGTTTGAATATTTGAGTATTTAAATGTTTGGAAAAAGTTTAAAAAGTTGAAGGTATGAATATTTAAAAATTTAGATATTTGAATATTTGACAATTTTTTAATTTTAGTACGCGAAGAATATTACAACTTTTCGCCGTGCGTAAGATGTCACTTTCAATAGAAAAGGGAATGTCTTGAAAATGCTAATTTGCCATAATGCATTATGGCAAAGACAAATCATGAATATGAAAAAATCGATGACGTTGCTGATCGAGAAAAAAATTAGTCGGATAATACTATTCCCAGGAATATTTTAATTATCTCGAAGTGAACCTTAACTGTGCTTTACAATAAATGTGTAGAAAAATTAAGATTATTGTATGTCAAAGTATAATTATATTTCAATTCTCAACATAATTATCTTTAAATCTCACATAATTATATTTAAACAAGAAAAACTGTGATTTATCCTAAAGTTCTACTAAAACACCTTGCAAGCACTTTTAAAATACAGTACTTACCATTTTCTTCGAGCAGACGCGCAAAATTGCCCTCCACTTTCTCCACCTTTCTTATTTCTCACCTATACCTGAAAAAACACATTACGATTTAATAAAATCCCAACAGAAAGACACAGACATCAACAAATGGAACATTCATAATCCCTTTTATAGCTTAAATCACTCAGACGACAAGCTCTATCTCATTTTTCACCGTTGATCTAAATTTTTACGCTTTTGAAGGGATTTCTCGATTACCACTTCACCGAAACCGAGAAGCTACTGCGAAGGTGATGCGTCGCAGGGATGTCGATTCGATCGCGGTAAGAAAGGGTTACGAAAATAGGTAGGCCTCTGGCGAAAGAGGTGGAAAGTATCTGCCTCGTCCCCGGAGCTGTGATAAGATGCGAAATGGACGCCTGTCTTTCTTCGGAGACTACGAGAACCACGCGAGCGATGCTACGATAAGCCGATCAAAGAACTCAGCCAGGGAAGGTTGATAGTGTATAGTTCCGCGTACGTGAAGGCCGCGATATGGATTTTCACTCGAGACGGAAGAAAAGCATTCTCGTGGCCATAACAATACCGTCGTTCAATTGCTCTCGTTTTTCGACGAACCACTTTCGATGTCACGAGGAAGACGAAAGAATGCTAGCGCTGAAGAGACGAGGCTACGCGGCGCATATATCGGACAGAAAGAAAGAGACGTGGGTGGTTGGTGAATGGCACGAGCCAAAGGAAGAGGAATATAAGGTGAGCATGCTTTATCTTGGCTGACGTAGGCCAAGAAACGTCGAGTTCAAGCTGTATCGTTATCTTAGCAGCGATAACGATAGAATGGCCATTGCGGGGGTAGCAGCGTTGGGTGCTGCAGCAGCGCGCACGCTTGGTTCCATGTACAGTGGCCCGGTTCGATCCATCATTCACTCGTTCGAGTGCGCATCCCAACGTACAACCTCATGCAACCGCGTATACACACGCTTCAATGAAAGGAAGCTGAATCGACTATAACGTTCAGAATCGAATGAAGGAAGGAAACTATATCTGCTGGCAAGGACTCTACTACGTAGACAACTACGTTGACGCTAACGTTAGGTGAAGCATCGCGTTGGTGTGCATCGTTGTTGCCGATGTTTTAGACGCGTACAGCCGGGTTACTTTACTGACCACCGGCCATGAGCGCGATGTTTCTCCAGATGAGTCGGATATAGTGGAAGAGCGGTTAGATTTCCCTCAAGCCACTGGCAGGCCGCCTCGTTTATCAA